TGGGTGATGTCAGTAAGCCCCTAGTTAAATAAATATACCCTTATGAGCAAGGCTTTTCCCAGCGAACCGTCCAGTCGTCATTTGGACGGCCGCTGACATCACCGGACGGCCTATATTTTCAAAGACGGCTTGCGACTTTTGTTTAATGACGTCTTGGCTTGTCGGGACAGCTGTGGACGTTGTAAGAAATTTTCTTAGAGTTATTTGACATACCTAGCTTTTATGATGCGTCACAGATGAATGGTACTACTTTGTAGTGTACGCTGATATTCAGTCACGACGAAAGTACTTCCTAAAGCTTACAAAACACAATAAAATGTTTCTATGAACTTTAAGATACACATTCCACGCCGTATGCAGCAGTGACAAGAGTGACCTTCATGCGGTACAAAACACAGCAAACTACAGGCCAATTTGTGAAAGGGGACACCTTCCCGACCTTCATACGCACGACAACTGACAAAGCTGATTGACAAAAAGGAAAATTTCAAATTTTCAGCGAGAGATCGTTCGCAATCCGAGAGAGACCAGGAGGCAATTTTCATATTTTTTAAAAAGACTTCGTAAGCCAAAGGAGAACGCAATTTTCGTTTCGTCAGCGGGAGATCGTTCGCAATCCGAGTGAAACGAGAAAGCTCATACTCGTTCAGTGGCTTTCGTTTGCGGAAGATCGTCAGCCGGAGATCGTTCTCGGTTGTTTTTAACCCTCCCTCCCCAATGGAATTTATAATTTTAAAAATATTTTTCATTTCATTTGTACATTTCAAGGAACTTCATTAGCGGAAGATCGTCAGCGGGAGATCGTGAACGTTCTGAGCGAGACAAGAAAGCAATAATGGCAATCTTTATTGCAGCTCTTAATATTGCTCTTTTGTTCTGTTACTGAAGTCTCTACTGTTAACAATGCTATTGTGCGCCTCAGCAAAACTACCGATCGCTATCTCACACCGAATACTGCGGTAAATAAACAACAGCCCGACAGTACAACTGTTAATAAATTTTCCTGTTATCTGAATGAATGGATATGACGATGTTGTTTAGCGTCCTAAACTAACTGTACCGATCGTTATCTTGCACCTTGGGCCGCACACGTAGTACTCAGGTAAAGGTACGCTAGGGCAACATTGCCGACTGTTATATCTTTATAAGCGCGAAAATAGCCCGGTGGCCGATTTTAAGGTGTACGAAATTCACGAAATCAAGATCGCGCAAAATTGCTTACTGGCCGAAATTCATGGTCCAGAAAAAACTCCAGACGGCCGATTTTAAGATCGTTCGAAATTCAAGAGCCGTTCGAAATTCATGGCACTTTACCGTAGATTAACAATGCAGAGTGAGGTTGATATGTCATTCACATTTTGACATCCATTCCAAGATCACTCAGCAATCCACATAGAAGACACCAAGTTTTATTACAGGTAAACAACCACTGTCATACTTGTCCAAGCAGTTAATATCTTATCACAGTTTACCACAACTTTCCATGCAACGGAGGTTCTGCAATCCACTGTCTATTGCTCATTTTTCAAAACCTCTTTTGTTCTAAATATTGTAAAAACTTACTATGTGAGCTTTTTAACTAATTATTGCAAATTATATTACAATTGCTTCTTAGAGGTTTTTTTTTCATGGGAAACCTGCTTGTGCATTATGCAAACCTAAGTTAACAAATATGATTGTCTACAAGAGCTTATTGTTTGAGATGATTAGCAAACAGTAGTTGTCAAAAGTGCAGAATGTATCCTGACTCTCTCCTAAACTGGTACATTTTTAATTGAATTTTTAACAACCTTGGGACAAATGCCACAAATGTTTTGAAAATCAAAATAGTCATTTTACCTTCCAAGTAAGTTAAGCAGCTGATTTTGCCTACACATAAAACAATTCAGATAAATAAATCTTTAAAACTTAAATAACTTGTAAACATTTCAGTAAAAGCAAAGCAAAATATGCATTTTGAGAGGATGCAAGTTTCATAAGTGCAATACTTCATTCAGGGTAAATAGAATAATTGTCAAATTGCCTAACAACTTTTACATGCAATATCATGCGCAGATACAAAGAACCTACGAAGTTGAACACCAACTACTTCCTACCATCAATATGACAAATACAACAACTAACAGATTGTCTACTATTCTCGATGCCACATAATATTTTTAAAGCTGTAAGTATATGTATGAAGATAATATTGTTACATGACAAACAAACCTTTGGAAGCACAATTATAAGAAATCAACTGTTTTAATATTCCTGCACCAGTGTGGGCAACAGCATGTTGCTACTGTATGCTGCAATTTGACTGCACTGAGCAACAAGTGCATCTGTCAGAGTATAATTTGGCTGGAGGAATAAGATCCAGCTCTTCATTGTCTGATACAAGATCTAGGTTATAACCATCCTTGACTAACTGTTCTGCAATTTCACGATTGGTTGTATGTGACAGGTGAAGGTCAAATTCGTCTTCATCACTGAAAATGTAAAGATAAGCTTTTTAATGATAAATATATATGCAGCTGACATATGTTATATTCCTTGCTTATTTTCACACAGAGGCCACCTTCCTTTGCAGTCAACCATTAATACCCCTTATCTTATATCAAATTGAATTTTCTTTAATCAATTTATTATGCATTTAGAGGCTGTGGAGGTAAATCAAATAATTTTATTGAGCACCAGTCTCTCTTTCTGGAAAAACGTCTGAAATTGCCATGCCTTGCAAAATATCAACTATGATCAACTGATTATCCTACCTCCCATCTGTAGGAATAGCAACTAAAAGCTGTGTTTGTTCTTCTTTTGTTGCCTTTGGAATGTCTTGTCTGCTCGGTATTTTTAATCTGAAAAATAATTTTAATTTATCAAATATTTAATAAGCCGCAGGCACAGGTTTCTTTTCTTTCTGTATCGAGGAAGATTTTAAGTATAACACAAGTGTACAATTCTGTGAACAAAAATTTATCAACACAGAATGTTAAAAGTGTATTATGATTCACAATACCATGCACTGACAGTGCAATATACTCAAAAGTTTATTTTCAATCAAGTTATTTGAATTAGGTTCATGCAGACAATTCAAGGGAAATATCATTGTCTCAAGTCTTGCAGTTTTCTTTTTTAACAGACCAAACCTGTATCTGGAAGACAAGTTACATCAATTTTACTTAAATCATGGGCCTGTTTAAGATTCGCATTCTTAATATGTCAAGTGTCAAAACAGCACAGATAGTCAGTATAAATTCTCCAAACAAAAATGTTAGCATAAGAAATCATCAGAATTATGNCTATTGGAAATGTTACAATTGTATGGGACATTACTGCTATTCAAATCTGTAGTTAAATTATATGTAAGGGCTAGAAGTTGTAATTTTACATTGCAACTTTTGCTTTCTTGGTTAAACAGTTCTTATATTTATTGACATTGTAATGAAAGTAATCACTATCTTTGGAACAACATTTTAAAAATTTACTGACACAGCTACATTTGGCTCTTGTCACAAGAGCATCATCAGTTCTGTTACAGTAGGCAAATGATAAATTGTATAAGCTGCTGGCTTATTCTTATGAGATATAAAAATTAAAATAAAAACATTTTAATGCATTAAAAAACATACATTTTCCTTGTAATTAGATGGGAAGGGACAGATGGTTTCAGTAGTCATTTTCATGTTTGTATATAATCCAATAACTGCATTGTTATGCAATGATTTTAGGAATACAATAGAATGGTGTATTAATTAAATTTATTAACTCAAATTATATAACACTGTACAACTGAGAATACTTGTAATGAAAATCTTGTATAAAGAGCTTGTACTTTCAACTTGTATCAACGATGGTATTGCGCTGTGGTTTAAATGTCAACACCAACAACATCATAGAGATTATGAATATTTCAAAGCCTTCCATTGCGAACAAATATTCATACAATTTTTTTATGAACTGTGAAATTCTAATCCGAGGTCAGTAGAAATACTCCAAAGCACTGTGCAAAAGGCTTCTTGCTGTTGGGCACATTGTAATACCCAATTTCATATCCAATTTTGGTTTTAAAAAAAATAGAAGAAAATGTATAAGAGCAAAAGAATAAAAGTTCTAACGAATGTATTTGTTGCTTGTTTACATTTTTCTTGAACTGATTATGGGATTTCTTAAAGCTGACTGATATATTGAGGCATAATTTTTTTAACTAGACAGCAAAGCTGACAAATATACAGACACCATACAGGAAACAAGGCAGAAAAGTTGACAAATGTTCAGACATTATGCAGAAAAAAGTGCACCAAATGTTTTGGCCAATATTGATACATTGATACATAATGCTTTAAAACAGCATAATCACTCTATCCTTATTACATTATGTACTGCAGGTAACATGGACATTGAAAAACTAACAAGTGATTCAGTTCCATGGGATATAAATTTAATATAAAACAAAAATAAGGTTTGGTAGCTATGGGGCAAGTGTCTCCAAAAATGTGAAAAAAAAAAAAAAATACAATAATTACTGTAAATGTACAGCGATCATACTAATTTTGAAAGCAACCTGCCTCTTTGCCAAACAAATCCTTTCAGTAAGAAATACTAACAAGTGATTCAGTTCCATGTGATATAAATTTAATATAAAACAAATATGGTTTGGAAGTATAGGGGGAATGTCACCAAAATTGTGCAAAAAAATCAGAATAATTACCATAAATGCACACTGATCATGCCAATTTTCAAAAGCAACCTGGCTTTTACTAAGCAAAGCCACTCAGTAAATTAAAGTAATACAAATATACGGTTTGGCAATTATGAGTTGAGCATCATGTGTTGATCATTGACAGCAATGGCACTGTCAGACAAACCAATCAGAATATATACAGACACTTACAGTGTCTGTATATAAAATTCAAATTTCTATTTACTGAAGGAACACCTTGACACAACATATTTATACAAGCACCAATTGTAGAAAAACAAAACATCCCACAAACAAAATCTTTTCTTTGTCAACTGCTACTAAAATTCTCTTTACAGAGTAAGTGACAATGCCATTGATCATAAATATAACCCAATATAAATATATTCTATGTTCTAACTAACACAAATTATGTAGATTAACATTGCAGAGTGAGGTTGATATGTCATTCACATTTTGACATCCATTCCAAGATCACTCAGCAATCCACATAGAAGACACCAAGTTTTATTACAGGTAAACAACCACTGTCATACTTGTCCAAGCAGTTAATATCTTATCACAGTTTACCACAACTTTCCATGCAACTGAGGTTCTGCAATCCACTGTCTATTGCTCATTTTTCAAAACCTCTTTTGTTCTAAATATTGTAAAAGCTTACTATGTGAGCTTTTTAACTAATTATTGCAAATTATATTACAATTGATTCTTAGAGGGTTTTTTTTCCATGGGAAACCTGCTTGTGCATTATGCAAACCTAAGTTAACAAATATGATTGTCTACAAGAGCTTATTGTTTGAGATGATTAGCAAACAGTAGTTGTCAAAAGTGCAGAATGTATCCTGACTCTCTCCTAAACTGGTACATTTGTAATTGAATTTTTAACAACCTTGGGACAAATGCCACAAATGTTTTGAAAATCAAAATAGTCATTTTACCCTCCAAGTAAGTTAAGCAGCTGATTTTGCCCACACATAAAACAATTCAGATAAATAAATCTTTAAAACTTAAATAACTTGTAAACATTTCAGTAAAAGCAAAGCAAAATATGCATTTTGAGAAGATGCAAGTTTCATAAGTGCAATACTTCATTCAGGGTAAATAGAATAAATGTCAAATTGCCTAACAACTTTTACATGCAATATCATGCGCAGATACAAAGAACCTACGAAGTTGAACACCAACTACTTCCTACCATCAATATGACAAATACAACAACTAACAGATTGTCTACTATTCTCGATGCTAACATAATATTTTTAAAGCTGTAAGTATATGTATGAAGATAATATTGTTACATGACAAACAAACCTTTGGAAGCACAATTATAAGAAATCAACTGTTTTAATATTCCTGCACCACTGTGGGCAAAAGCATGTTGCTACTGTATGCTGCAATTTGACTGCACTGAGCAACAAGTGCATCTGTCAGAGTATAATTTGGCTGGTGGAATAAGATCCAGCTCTTCATTGTCTGATACAAGATCTAGGTTATAACCATCCTTGACTAACTGTTCTGCAATTTCACGATTGGTTGTATGTGACAGGTGAAGGTCAAATTCGTCTTCATCACTGAAAATGTAAAAATGAGCTTTTTAATGATAAATATATATGCAGCTGACATATGTTATATTCCTTGCTTATTTTCACACAGAGGCCACTTCCTTTGCAGTCAACCATTAATACCCCTTATCTTATATCAAATTGAATTTTCTTTAATCAATTTATTGTGCATTTAGAGGCTGTGGAGGTAAATCAAATAATTTTATTGAGCACCAGTCTCTCTCTTTCTGGAAAAATGTCTGAAATTGCCATGCCTTGCAAAATATCAACTATGATCAACTGATTATCCTACCTCCCATCTGTAGGAATAGCAACTAAAAGCTGTGTTTGTTCTTCTTTTGTTGCCTTTGGAATGTCTTGTCTGCTCGGTATTTTTAATCTGAAAAATAATTTTAATTTATCAAATATTTAATAAGCCGCAGGCACAGGTTTCTTTTCTTTCTATATCGAGGAAAATTTTAAGTATAACACAAGTGAACAATTCTGTGAACAAAAATTTATCAACACAGAATGTTAAAAGTGTATTATGATTCACAATACCATGCACTGACAGTGCAATATACTCAAAAGTTTATTTTCAATCAAGTTATTTGAATTAGGTTCATGCAGACAATTCAAGGGAAATATCATTGTCTCAAGTCTTGCAGTTTTCTTTTTTAACAGACCAAACCTGTATCTGGAAGATAAGTTACATCAATTTTACTTAAATCATGGGCCTGTTTAAGATTCGCATTCTTAATATGTCAAGTGTCAAAACAGCACAGATAGTCAGTATAAATTCTCCAAACAAAAATGTTAGCATAAGAAATCATCAGAATTAAGATGGCATTGAGGAAAAGCCAACTCCTTAAAATTGTGAGGAAAATTAGGGTTATCTAAAAGCATTAAATCATTACCTACCGACTTCTACTGAGAAGATTCTTTCTTGGTTGTGTGTCTATTGCACTTGCTTGGGATTTTTTCATTAAATCTCTTTGCTTTTCTAAAAAGTTAAATACAGGATTGTAAGTTGTAACAGTCATGTGATCAGTAAAAACCTGCTAAAAATAAGTATTTTTAACATGGCACCTCTGTTATTTCCATAGCAGTTCTTATATATGTGTAATCTTTGTATGCAATACAAATAGAAAATATAAATGTAATTTATGCTGAAAACAAACCTTATTCTTGAATAAAGAATGAAAATATACAAGATCTTCAGCTAGGTAAAAAAAGAAGAAATTTGAATACATTCATGTTTACTACTTCCAACAGAATGTGATGGCAAATTCTTGTTTAGAACTTGCTCTTACCACCTGCTGGTAAAAAAAATCCAAGTATCTAGGCAGTACTGACAGTAGCTTCAATTTTTAACAGATTATGTACTATTATATCCTAAAAGGACCAAAAATAAAAGACTACTCCAAACTTCATCATAAAATATATGTTCAAGGCTTGTTGCCATCTTTACCTATTTTTTTCTGTAACTCTGTTGTCCTCTTTGATGATTTCAGAGATGGTGCATAATTTCCTGTGGCCTAAAAAGATAAATGTAACAAAAATTTACCGATTTCACATAAAAACATCAGTCATCATGAATGAGAATGTCTAATAAGTACTATGAACACATGGGGGAAAAAAGAAATAACCAGGCAATGAACATTAGAGACAAATGAGAGACCAAGGCTGTGAAAGAAATAATTAAACATCTACCAGTATAAAAGTTTCATTACTAACATCACAGGACCCACTTCGGACAAGAATGACAATTTTTCTGGCAGTGTAGTNACCATGCACTGACAGTGCAATATACTCAAAAGTTTATTTTCAATCAAGTTATTTGAATTAGGTTCATGCAGACAATTCAAGGGAAATATCATTGTCTCAAGTCTTGCAGTTTTCTTTTTTAACAGACCAAACCTGTATCTGGAAGATAAGTTACATCAATTTTACTTAAATCATGGGCCTGTTTAAGATTCGCATTCTTAATATGTCAAGTGTCAAAACAGCACAGATAGTCAGTATAAATTCTCCAAACAAAAATGTTAGCATAAGAAATCATCAGAATTAAGATGGCATTGAGGAAAAGCCAACTCCTTAAAATTGTGAGGAAAATTAGGGTTATCTAAAAGCATTAAATCATTACCTACCGACTTCTACTGAGAAGATTCTTTCTTGGTTGTGTGTCTATTGCACTTGCTTGGGATTTTTTCATTAAATCTCTTTGCTTTTCTAAAAAGTTAAATACAGGATTGTAAGTTGTAACAGTCATGTGATCAGTAAAAACCTGCTAAAAATAAGTATTTTTAACATGGCACCTCTGTTATTTCCATAGCAGTTCTTATATATGTGTAATCTTTGTATGCAATACAAATAGAAAATATAAATGTAATTTATGCTGAAAACAAACCTTATTCTTGAATAAAGAATGAAAATATACAAGATCTTCAGCTAGGTAAAAAAAGAAGAAATTTGAATACATTCATGTTTACTACTTCCAACAGAATGTGATGGCAAATTCTTGTTTAGAACTTGCTCTTACCACCTGCTGGTAAAAAAAATCCAAGTATCTAGGCAGTACTGACAGTAGCTTCAATTTTTAACAGATTATGTACTATTATATCCTAAAAGGACCAAAAATAAAAGACTACTCCAAACTTCATCATAAAATATATGTTCAAGGCTTGTTGCCATCTTTACCTATTTTTTTCTGTAACTCTGTTGTCCTCTTTGATGATTTCAGAGATGGTGCATAATTTCCTGTGGCCTAAAAAGATAAATGTAACAAAAATTTACCGATTTCACATAAAAACATCAGTCATCATGAATGAGAATGTCTAATAAGTACTATGAACACATGGGGGAAAAAAGAAATAACCAGGCAATGAACATTAGAGACAAATGAGAGACCAAGGCTGTGAAAGAAATAATTAAACATCTACCAGTATAAAAGTTTCATTACTAACATCACAGGACCCACTTCGGACAAGAATGACAATTTTTCTGGCAGTGTAGTTCTAGTAGTGGATTGCTCTATAAATATGAAATTTGGCACACATCAGGAAGGAAAATTACTGTATATGATCCCACAGAAGCAGCCATTAGTTAATTTGATAGTAAGTTAATTTGATAGTCTTATGCTATGTATTACATAACTTTTAATTTGGAGCACTTGATGCCACTTGCACAGTACCCATTTTGGAAACTTATTTATTAATTAAATCATTGTGTGTTAAAGAATGAATGCAGCTGCATGGAATAAAATTAAATCACTTGAAATTCATCAACCACTCTAACTTTAGTATAAACTTCATGCTTAAAAGATGATACTAACAGTCATTGTTGTTAAGAAAATGAATTGCTACTTAACTATGTTGTGAAAAAGAGTGTCATGCTGGTTGCCTTCATGCAATGCACAGTTTTCAAGTCAACCACCCTTGGTCTTTTATAAAAACTGATTTGAATCTTTAAAATTAAAAAAAAATTACTGACATACATTTATAGCTAAGAAACTGTCAAACTTACATAGTGCTTAAAGCTTTTGCTGTTAAAAATTTCATTTATAAGGGAAATACAAATCAAACACAGCACAGTTGGTAACAATCTGGTTTAAATTAAGTGGTCATTTGACCCCAAAACTGCATTACTAATCTGCACTTTCTCTTTTGATTGAGACCGGTAAACCATGCATTTTTCATGCCACTCAATTTTCTTTTCAACAGCAATCCATGTATGAACTTCTAAAGTCAAAACTGTGTTTGTGTGACAGAAAAAAAGTTAAGTTTGTGTAATTTATGCTTGACCTCATCAAATAAATTTATCATTGGCAAAACAACAGGCAACTAATATGAAGAGTTCAAAATGGATCACTGTGTCCCAAATGGGTCTTGAGACAAAAAATATGAGCACTTTTCAAGGAAATTTCTTATATATTTGGCTAGTATCTTCACAACAAAATTGTAATAGAGTAATAGTGGTATGACACATGCATAAAATGTCGATAACATGACAAAATATGGATAACAAATGCAGAGGGGGACAATGTACCCTTGACTGTTTTAAGGTAAGAGGACTTGACTTAGGGGATTGGTATGAGATTGCTTTTTTTATCATGTACAAGTACTGTACCCTGCATGTGTGTGTGTGTGTATAAAATGTTAGAACAATGCAATGCCACATTATCAACTGGGAATAGTTTTAACCAGTCTGATAGCCACAAAATAAAGGCACAAATATCAAATTATTTACAAAATATACATCTATTCCGCCTTTATTCTAAAAATAAATTTACTTATCAAATAAAATACCAAGCAATGATATCATACATTTGAGGACTTATAACATGGCACTTACATTTTGTTGGATTTGCGCTGACCTCTGGTCACTTTCAATCCCACTATCTTCCATGCTGTCCATTTGGTGAAACTACATATGGAGCATAATGTAAAATGTACATGAACAACCATCTGACTTTGCTCCAAAACAGGAACTGTAGATACGCATGGAATTGTGGGATCCATTTTTAACTGCGCATGCTTGGTTGTCACGGTGACGAGCACCGCCATCTTTCAGATTTTGTATAAGGCATTTCAATAATCTGCGAAAACTTGTGTTGTAACATATTCTTTGAAAATGCCACCGAAAGCGGCATTGAAGTTAAAACAGGTAGGTGTTTGGAGAAAGAGTATTAAAGGTCACAGAATATAGAAAATATAAGGGATATCTCATTTAACAGACTTTGTACATGGCACGAGTACGTTCTAAACTGTAAACAAACTAGTCACTTGGGCCGACCGATCATCTTTTAACTTGTTTCATTATCTGTAGTATTTGGTAATGTTCTTTGTACTAAACCCAACAATTAAAACTTCGTTTGTAAATTAAACAGAGACTTTGCATTGTTGGCTGATGGTGGATCACAATGTCGCGCACCTTGCAAACATTATGAAGAGTTGTTTGAGATTAGGTGCTGCGTTATTTATAATAATGGTGTTTGGCATTACTGTAAGTAGGGGTGTTACACTAAAAATAAGCTGTGACTTGAAGAATAGCTTATAAAAGTAGTCCATTTACATATACCAGTACCATACACCCATACATCGCTGAAAAGCCTGTTTATCTGGCCATTTGAGCATAGTCTCAAAAAAAAAAAAAAAAAAAAAAAAAAAAAATGCATTTGAAGATGATTTGTATGTATGCATATAACTTATATTATCCACCTTCTCTTATTCTCACATCCAGTGTTTAATATATTTGAAATACTAGAAACATAGTACTGTCTTTATTTATTGCAATCCCATGTCTTAGTTACATATTTGTTGTAACCATCACTGTTTAGTTCTTTTCTCCTGATGGACAACTGAACTTTGCGCCCTGTTTACAATTTTCATCATGTTTAAATATGCTGTAGAATCAGCCCTGTAGAAGTCACATTTGAACCTGTAGAAGTCCTCACTTGAGTATTTTCTGCTCTGATAATATTCTGTCATATTCATGTTTTCAGACAACTGGTGCAGGTGGAAAGGGAAAAGGACTGAGGCCCGTCAGGGTAAGATTATGAATAGTAAACACCATATGGATTAAAATGATGAAACCCATGTTTATAGTAATCTTTTACTATTGTCGCGTATTTTTCTTTTTCAGACTCTGCAAATGTAAACTAGAAAAATGCATATGTTATCTTTTTAAAGCATTTTTCCAAAATGAATGTAATTCATAAGTGTAGTTTCTTTTCTAAGGTATTTTCAGCCCACTCTTCCATATCAAGGGTAACATATTTTAAGATTGACATTATGTTAATGTTTAGTTCATTTATTATTTCTTTGGAGTGAGTGAAGAGTGTTTATAAGTATTGATGTTAAATCTTATGTTATGTGCTGGATTATAGGATTTTAGGATATTATTTGTGTTATTGCCCTGAAAGATTTGTCACCATTTTATCTCTACAACTTTCTACACAATTTGTTAATAGTTTGTTTGTTAGCAGACAAATACAAACATATAACTGTGATTGATGAATTAGGCATGTATTAAAATGTGTTGTTTCTGATATCTGTTAGGTTTATCTGTATATTTTCTAGAAGCTGAAGTAGCATTTAAATTGATTGTTGAACACCATATACGAATTAATAAATGTAGGGCAGTTGGTTTGGAGTGTATTTTTGTAATTTTATATGATAAAAGATAATGAATTTTGATAGTCTATATATGATCAAATTTAGGATGATGATGATGGAGCCACACACACTGAGGCAGGAGATCAGGGAGACGATTGGATGCAGCCAAAGTCCTTACTGAAACCAGAAGACCAGTTAGAATTGTCAGAAGCTGTAAGTGCTAATATTGGAAGTGTTTCCTCATTTATTTTACTTGTTTAACGTGATAATGTTAAAAAAAAAACTTTGTGTGTTGCTTGCCAGAGATAAGAATATCTTTCACTACATTTATTTCGATTCTTGATTAAAAGCAAGCAGCATGATTAATTTTGTTTAGAACCATGTATAATTTTTCTGGATTCTGAGTATAAGGACCCATTGCCATCGGCGCTATTGGTCTACGCTGAGTGCAGTCAGCTCCATTGAAAGACATGCCTCCTCCTTGTATTGAGTAGAATACAGAAAACGAGAATGTGGGAAAAGAGAGGAGGCATGGCATTTTATTACAAGTGTGACAGTGTTGCAGAATGTACTGTTATGAATGAAGGATACTGTGTGCTGATTTTCTTTTTCCCTCTAAGGCATTTCATTTTTGACTTTCAGGAATTGAAAGAAGAATTCACAAGGATTTTAACAGCTAACAATCCTCATGCTCCACAAAATATTGTTAGGTACAGCTTCAAGGTGAGTTTCTCTCAGTCCATATCTATTTGCAGTGTTCTTTTGTTTTAACCAAAACATGAAAAGAAAAAGGAAAGAAAGAAAAGGCTACATATTCAAGATCTACATGTTCTTCACACATTTGAACTATTTTTCTGCAGGAGAAGCAGTACAAGCAAATCTCCAGTGTTGACCAGCTGGCAGTTCACTTTACTCTGGATGGAAACATGCTGCATAAGGAGTCAGATGAGGCCAGAAGACAACAAGCGAGACTTGAGGGTCATGCTGAAGGTATGCAGTTTGTCTGTGTACTTGTTCAAAATGAAGTACTCATTTGTTGCGTACATGAGAGGACTGTTTTTGTAATTACTGTTGTAGGTGTGAGCTATTGGGCAGTGAGTAGTGCAGCTTTTATAGTAATGACACCTGCTTTATCTTCTGTTCTTTGTGGTTTTATTACAGATGAAAGACTAGAATTTGATGTTCCTAACTGGGATATATAAAAAACTTTCTAGCAATTATATGTCAAATCAACAATGTTATGTATAAAACCAGCAGTGTTTATATGCTTAGCTTGATACTCATATGTACGAGTATAGATCTACTAGTAAATGGACACAATTATGGTAATACTGGAATTTTATCTCCTGGCTAATTTAAATGCAAAAACAGTATAATTTGTGTTTTTTCTCTATTTTTTAGTCTGTTTTACTAATAGTATTATCTGGTTTTATGTTGCTTCAGTTACTTCTAGCAAAAAGTATCGCAAAGGTAATAAGGCTTTAAACATTCCAATTCCAAATATTGATCCCAATTATTCCTTATCTGTTTCATATATATATAAAAATGTAACTGCTTTTAAATTTTCTTTAGTTTCTGCTGCTTAATATGTTCATTTTATGTACGGACAAAATTAATTAAGTAAAACAGTGTTGATTCAACCATCTGTTCACATAAGGTTTAACTCTCTACATTGATATTCTTTTTCTGTTTAAAAAAAGAAAAATTATATATATGTAACAGAATATCATAGTTCTGTGTCACCTGGTTGTAGACCTGTCAAAATGGAAATTATTTCAACTAATAATGGACTTAAGGATATTGTCACCCTTCGTCCAAAACTCCCTTTTTACTGCCTCACATTCTTTTGGGTAATAGATTATTCTTCAGTATTCAGTGACTAAATTAATCAACATTTACACATATGTCATCTTACAGGTGACATCATAATTGTGATTTTGGGGCAAAAACTGAAAAATCAGATTCTCGAATTTCCCTTTTACCTGAGTACCCACGATTACTGTTTCAACGCTGATTGAATGAATCCTGCCAGTAATTTTTCTTAAAGGTCATCGTTCAGATTTTATCATTGATAAAGCAAAATAATGCCTTTGTTTAATGAAAATCTGTAATTAGGGGCTCATAATTCCATAACAAAAAAATTTAAACCAAAATGATGGGATGGGTTTGTAGTCCATACACTCGTTATCAACTCATGAAAAAATCTTGTTCTGGGATGAAGTTACGCCCCATACTGATTGCTATCTCACCTCAAAATAGAAAGGCGTTAAATTGATGATTAAAGCTTTGAGTTGCCTATGCTTATACATTGCAGCAATGAAGTATAAACGTTGATATTATATATTTTCGAGTTTCTTTTTATTGTTTTAAGTCAGCACAAGGATAGATGCATTACTGAATAATTAAATTGAAGAAAAAAAATCATTTTCAGGATCTGGATGATAATGAAGGGTTACAATAACCTTAACTCTACATTAAAGTTTGTCTGTACATTTTCTGTTGGTTTTTCTTTCTGGCATAAACATGTACACATGCTTGCTTATCAGCAAAGAATTTCCAGACTGAGTAATAAGAAGCTGCTTAATTTTAGCATGGTGGTTGGTGGGCTTGTATTGTAGTGGTAATGGTGATCTGCATGGTAGTTTTTCAGGTGTTGGCAAATGTCAACATGGTCATCTAATTCAACTGATTAACAAAGAATGCTAAGTCTTTTGGGGATAGCTGTACAGAAATGCATGTATGTTTATTTGAATATTAATTTGAATTTGCTATGAATATCGAGTTGTGGTGTATTGATTATTGCAGCTATTTTTAGCCTTGGAAGTGAAAAAGATGTCATGTATGATAAGTGCTCAGCAGCATTATGGCTTCACAATGAATATCCAATCATTTATATTTCTTCATCAAAACAAGCATCCACATGTACCTGTATAGCTGCATGTATGCACATGTGCAGCACACCTCCATCTGATTTTTTTCCGGTTTGGTATTAAAGTTTTATTTATTTATTTATTTATTTCTATAAATTTAAAGTGTTTGTCAGTAAAAGAACAATGTGCTCAAATTAAATAATGTTGTTTATCTGAAGAAAAGGTTTTTAAAAAGACAAGATCTGTGCATTACTGACTGATGGATATGGTGATATGGATATTTTAGGTCACAGTGAGCCAGCAGCCAGTGAGCTAGGAGAGCCAGCAGAGGGCTCTGGTGCAGCAGAGGGAGAGGGAGCTGCAGAGAAGCCTGCAGAGGGTGCTGCTGAGGTAATAACAGTTGAGAAGGTTTCTCATCCTAGCATTATCTTAATGTAACACTTTTTGTCTATTTTGTATGTGTTCTAAATTTTAGGGCAAGACATTTACATGTAATATACAAAACCTCTTCAGCTTTTTGAAAAGGATAGATTGATTCTTCTTAGTAGAGATATATTGTCTAATTACTCTGAGAGAAATAACAATACTTCTCTAAATTTTAATCTTTCGTTAATGCTACATGTAGAAAGAAATTACTCTAAATGTGTAACACTATTATTTTCCATATCTGATTGTGTAATACTGTCTTTTGCTGCCTTTCGTTAACTTGCTAAAATTGAAATATTTTACTAACTTTAAGAAAACTGAAATGGTTTATGAACCAGAAACGGATGATGAGGAGGATGAGGTAGAAGAACAATGTAGAATATTGAACCTTTATCCTGGATTTGATGTTACTCCATATTAAGTTTGCCTGCAGCCTATCAATATTATTTTTTGTCTTGCATATCTACTAGTAAAAAATGATAAATATTTGCCTATAAATTTTTGAAAGTGTAACAGAATGCATTGGACACCTTCTTTTTGCATCTTTTCTTTTTACTCTGCCATTCAGCGAGGAATCCTTTATTTGTGTAACGTGTTTTAGACTCCTGCAACTATTATCTTTTCCTGTGTTCTGTGGATAGCCGTTTTGATTCCTTTGTTTTTTGTTTTTTTTAAATAGAAATAGTTTGTTGGATGAAAATTTTCTAGTGATTGGGCAGTATGGTCATGTTCATTTTGACATCCTACATATGTTATGCGGTAGTAATGTAGTTATTCTTCTGTAATACACACACACAAACACGCACACACACACACACACATATATATATGGTATTGTAATTATTCAATCTTTTCAAAAGCAAATATTGTGAATTTTACAGATACTAATTTCTTATATTTAGAACATACCTATTAAGTGGTAGCAAGAAAATGAAAAAGCAGGCTACTGTACAGTTCTATTCCATGCAGTAAAGCACCACTAATGCTATACAGAAATATAATTTTTTTTAATTACAAAATTATTTATCTGAAAGTTTGATATTTTCCCATTGAAAAGATTGAGTAATTACCCTACTTGCTATAAAATATAGGAGAAAATGGTTATTAATAGATTTAAATAGTTAAGAAATACTCATGCTGTCTATTCCAGGCAAGAGATGATGGAGCAACACCTGCCCCTGCCAAGCCAGAGAAACTGACTAACCAGTTCAACTTCAGTGAAAGAGCTTCTCAGACGTACAACAACCCTTATAGAGTAAGTTCTTCAACAGTAGATTTGATAACATATGGGGACCACTTAAAAACTACTATTAAACAGTTTAATTAAGATGTCCATAAATAAATTTAAAATGTTAATGGTATTAAAGAATATTCAATGCATTATTCATGTTTTAGGAACGTGGCACTGCTACAGAACCCCCACCCAGGCTCAACTTTTCAGCAAATGTCTCACAGTGGGAAATCTTTGATGCATATCAAGAGGATTTTGCCAAACAAGTATGTAGATGTTATTTCTATCAGCTTTTTTTATGTACAGACACATTGTGTCTTTACATACATAGCCATCACCTGTATCTGTCGTCTGCATCATAGCCTTGCACTTTCAGAGGTAACATAATTAGTGGAAAACCGTTTGACCTTTTGTCTTGAAACTTACAGAACTGATGAATATTCATAATAAGTTATGCTGTTTTTTTGCTTTTTCAGCATACATGCAATACAGATAACACATAAGTGAAAAGGCAGTTGATCTATTGCCTTTAAAATAATGAAAAAACTTGAATCTGATACTGGATCTTACTTGAAATGTACATCACTATGTTTCAACCTTCTCACAAGGTCTTCCTCAGGTGAACTGAGTTGTCACAATTTTTTGTGAAATTTTTATTTTCGTCATTCTGACATTTTTAATATGTGAACTTGATATCTTATTGGCATCAAGCCTAATACTAATAACATATTTCTGATGTATTATTGTATCATAATTGATATATTTACCTATTTTGTGCATTTTTTTTTTTTTTTGTTTGTGCATTTATTTGTGCTTTTTCTGTACATTTGACAGTTTTGCTGCCTTGTTTTTTTTTTTGGGGGGGGGGGCAGAAAACAAATAAAAAATAAATTCAGTCAGTGAAATATTTATAAGTTAGTCTGATTTATGATGATAATGTCCATTTAAAGTAACTGATTTAAATAATTAAAGGGATAACAACTGTTCATATGAAATCCTTGTTTCACTATAAATTGATTGTAAACAACTCATAGAAATATAATGAATTCTATTTTACCACCAAAACAGCAGTTAATGCAATAATTCTGGAATTTGTGCTTGTCATCACTTCATGTGACCTCCATAGATGGCTACACTTTGAGAGAATTCTTAAGAGAATATTACAAAAAACCAAACTCTTTAGAAAAAAACCAGGGAGTAACCTTGAATGTTGGAATGGATTCATTAACCATTGGTAAATATGGGATAACCATCCTTTTATCCCAGGAAAATCCAAAATGAATAGTTGTTATCCCTCTGACTTGTGTTAAGAATGACCTTACATACGTTCAATTTGTTCATACAATAATTTTGACCTAGCCATTTGTGTATTCTTTTACAAAGCAAAGTGCAGAGCAGTTGGCAGCCTCTTATGGCCTCCAGAAGGTCTTGGTTTTTAAGGCTGTGAATAAGATAGAGGAGGTATTGAGCACTGTATTAGATGGTCATTGATGGAAACATAGTGCATATACACCATGCTATATGTTTATGTGTGTACTGTGATGTGCACATGAGTACAGCACCACCTCCATATCCCAAATCACATTTCAAAAAAAAAAAAAATTAATTATATTTTATTTCATATTTGTAGGTATCCTGTTTTGTGGGCACTTCTTTTGTTTGCAAATTTTTATGATATCCATAGGTTTCATTATATTTGTTCCTTTCCTACCATTGTGTCAAATGTGTTCATCAAATAGCTGCACTGATGGTTGAGTTTGACTTGATTACCATCAAAAACAATTGGAAATGTATGCATTAAATTGTATGTAGAATTGCAAATTGTTCAAACATCATAACTTTGTATCTTACTTGGATTAAGGATATATTTACTAAAATTAAGTATTTGGTATGAAATTATTTAGGAAAAGAATAAAGAGAAGAAAGTTGTTCCTGGAAGGAAAGAAGAAGATACAAAGAAGAAAAAATTGACTGCAGTTGAGGCTCAAGTAAGATTTTTTTTTTAATTTTGCAATCAAACAGCCTCAAATGTTTTGAACACTAGAGTTTGAATTAAAAGATAAAATATACTTTCTGTCCAATTTTCTGACAGTTTGTTTGTGAATGCGTGTTTTAGTTTTGATGAACTTTGTAAAACTTGAAGAATATTAACTGCTGCAGCTAATGATTACTTGTTTGTTCTTTTGAAATTAATTTTTTTGTTTCCAGGGTGACGATATCTCCAAAATTGCCAAGTCTGCAAAGATTATTGAACGAATGGTAAACCAGAACACATATGATGACATTGCACAAGGTGAGCAAATACTGTGATTCTTTCTCTGGGTTTACTGCATGTTTAAAATTCTAAACTGCATGCTTGGATATAATCAGTATTCTTGTATCTAACTTATATATTGCTTTTTGTCAGTCATTCATAAAAGGACGACATTGAGATTATGTTTAGGTAGTATATCAAAGTGAAAAACAATTGTTCTTCATGTTCTGCTTTCTGCATTAATATCATTTTAGACTTCAAGTACTGGGAAGATGTATCAGATGAGTACAGGGAGCAAGAGGGTACATTGCTGCCTCTGTGGAAGTTTTCTTATGAGCGTGCCAAAAAGTTGGCTGTCACCTCTATATGCTTCAGTCCTAGATACAAGGACCTATTTGCCGTTGGGCATGGATCCTGTGAGTAAAATTTCATATCTTAAATCAGCAAAGACATTATCATAAGTAAGATATCAAATACCCTTGAGTTGACAGCTGTGTATTTTGGTAAAAATGTTTAGGTTATCAAATTGACTTAACACATTGTAGTTTGTTTAATCATTAGACTATCATGATTTTTATTATTTTTTTTTTAGATAAAAGGTTTTAATTTTATACAATACTAACTTTTTCAGAGATACATTGAAATTAAGTTGATGTTTTTTTTTTTTTTTTTCAGACGACTTTCTTAAACAGACCCGAGGAATGGTCCTTTTCTACACCCTGAAAAATCCGTCCTACCCAGAATTCATCTTCTCTACAGAGAGTGGTGTCATGTGTCTGGACATCCACCCAGAACACCCATACTTAGTAGCTGTGGGCTTTTATGATGGCAGCGTGGGAGTGTATAATCTCACTGAGAACCAGAATGCTCCAGTTTATCTTAGCACAGCCAAAAATGGAAAGCACACTGACCCAGTGTGGCAGGTAATAGATAACAAAGCAGTTTTTTTAATGTTCCTTAAATATCAGAAATGAACAGTGTAATGTTTATTGCAACTTGGTTTTTTATCGTTTTAAAAGTTTCTGCAGGCATAGTGTATTAAGGTGACCATTTATTGGTGAAATTGTGTTCTTGAAGCTTATCACGAACCCCCTTGATATAAACTTTTGTTTGTTTATTTCCAAGGTGCGCTGGCAAAAGGATGATCTTGACAACAATTTGAATTTCTTTTCAATTTCTTCTGACGGCAGAGTTGTGGCCTGGACACTAGTTAAGGTGAAAAAAAAAGTTTATGTTCATTATTCCTCAGAAAAATTAGTAAGTCAACTCAGAATGTGACATACTACATGTACATTTTAAACAAAACATTTGTTGAATTTGTTATGATTATCTGTATGATATTTCTTTGCGTCTACTTATTGGGTATTAGTTTGTATTGTTTAATTTCAGAATGAACTAGAATACTATGATGTGCTGAAGCTAACTCTAGAGGGGGCTGCACAGGATGGACCTGATGGAGTGCAATTATTTAGTTTAGGTAAAGACATCCATTGATCATGTTAGATTTGCTTTAAAAATCAAAGCTACTGATCCAAAGAAATCTTGCAGTGGCCTTCTCTTTTTAATGAAAGGGTTGCTGATATGTAATTTCAAAACTAACATAAACTTTTTTCCATTTCATATTAATTGCAACTTGCTGGTATGCAGTTACCCTTGTACCTTGATTGTTACAATCAAGCAAATTCAATATACTTCAAAACAGCTTTCTTTTAGATGAACAGTGGGGTATAATAATCTTTTGGTTGCGCATTTTCAGGCTGTGGCACCTGTTTTGACTTCCACAAGGACACAGACTACCTGTTTCTTGTGGGCACAGAGGAGGGCAAGCTTCATAAATGCTCCAAAGCATACTCCAGTCAGTTTCTGGATACCATTGATGCTCATCATATGGCAGTGTACAAAGTGGCCTGGAACCCTTACCATCCTAAAATATTCATCACATGTAGTGCAGACTGGACTGTGAAAATCTGGGATCACAATATCAAGTGAGTTTTAAACCCTCTCAACTTTTGGTTATGTGGTTTATCCGTATATCATTATATTAAAGAGGTTGGTGACAGCAAACAGCAAGAGAATCTTGGGGCTTTAAAAAGTAAATTTAGTAAATTTGCTTTTGCTCTTGCATATAATTTTTCTTTTTTCATTGCAGAGAGCCCATGTTCACTTTTGATCTGAACAGCTCAGTAGGAGATGTTGCCTGGGCACCTTACTCTTCAACAATATTTGCTGCTGTCACTGCAGATGGAAAGGTGGGCTCATGAATGAAATGGACACATAACATACAATTCAGAATTCCCACTTTTGACCCTAATGTCATTTGTACCCCCAGGCATATAATATGTCATTAAACAAAGCATCATAAAAGTATTTTTTGTAGGATTTTGACCTCCATTTAGACCTATTATTATACATGCAGTAGTAAAGACTATGACTGGGTTCCCATACTTAGATCGATCCATCTGGATTGACCTAACTCCCTGGGGGTTCATGCTAAATTGCTATCAGATCAAGAGGCTTAAATGTCTGTTACACCTACCGAATCAGCAAGGGGTAAAGTTAATTACCCCCTAACAGTTTGACGGACGTTTAAGCCGGTTAGTTTGACAGCAATTTAGTGAGACTCCCCAGGGAGATAGATCGATCCAAATATCTGTGGGAATGGTCGCTATGAGTGTACAAGTATTGCAACTACAGTGATTATGATTGTATAGAAAATATAAACTTGTGATCCTCTTTAAGGTGCATGTTTATGACCTGAATGTCAACAAATATGAGGCTATATGTGAGCAAGCAGTGGTTGCCAAGAAAAAGACCAAACTCACACACATAGGCTTCAATCCATCCCATCCCATTATTATGGTTGGAGATGACAGGTGAGAAATTTATGAAAACACGTATGTGAGTTTGCTTAAACTACAAAGAAAATGTTAATTTTTCTCTGAGAATTCTATAGAGTGCAAGAAGTTCATTATAATGATATCTTGTTCATATTTTATGGCATATGTATTACACTTTTTTCTAGGGGATATGTGACAAGTTTGAAGCTTTCACCAAATCTGAGAAAAATGCCAAAGGTAAGTTTTTCTTTTGCAAGTTTATTAATGTATCCAAATATTTTAATTAATAGCAATGATTATCTATTTATGCTTCATAGAAAGCCAAAACTACAATACCAGAATATATTTTTGATTGTTCAGAATCCTCCTTAATTAAATAATTTGCCTTTATTTTCAGGCCAAAAAGGGACAACAAATTGAGCAAGGACCAGAAGTGGAAATTGCCAAATTGGATAAAATTTTATCTTTGGTTCGAGAGCCAGAGCCTGCTAAAAAGGCCTGAGTAAAGTGCCAATAGTACGGAAAAGATACTTTATGTATTTCTTGTGGAATGAAAAGTTGTACCACCTTACAGGAGAAAACAATTATTTTTAATTTTTAAAAGTAGAACCAAGATATAAGGCACTTTGAAAACTGTGATAAATGTTTAAATAAGAGACAGTGCACTGTGTAGTGCAATTTCTGTCCAGCACCCCAAACCCTCTACAATCTTGTGTTCTGTTCTTGTGTTCTGCAGGGGGATATACTTAGGTTTGTATTTTCAATAGCAGTAGACCCTTTTTCAGATTTATCAACTTAACAGCACTTCATTCTGACAATACAAAATGTTAATGTAAAAAGAAAATGCAAAAATGTTTGTGTTGTTTATATCTTATGTTTTTATGATCAAAATAAATACAGTTTACAGTACATATGTATCAGGGTTGATGGAAATATTCACTTATACTCCACAACTCATTTCATGTATCCATGCACTGGCACCCTCTGTGGACCACCTTGTGGCTTTTAAAACTTGACGTTTATCCCACATGTACAAATTATACATACTCTAACCTTTACTGGACCTAAAGACACCCATCGATCATCAGTACGTCATAGCTAAAGTAACATCAAATAAAAGAAATGTAAAAGTCTCTTTGATTAATTTAAAAGTAGATGAAGCAGAGGTTAAGTGTGTTTTGATAATGTCTCTTGGTTATATGTTGATATTTTATCAAATCAACCATTTGGTAACATTTCTGCCTGCCTCAAGTCTGTTCTTTACCAATCTCTCACAACACTTCATTTGCAAGGTTCCTTTTAAACACAAAAAAGGGATGAAATTTTATTGAAATAACCTTTAAGGACTTAAATGGAAAGCACGGAATGCATAAGGAATTTATTTATAACATGATGTAAACAATAAACCAAACAATAAAAAAAGACAACACAATAAAAAATATATAAAAAGGCAATTCTCATAAATCCTTGATGTAACAATTTTATTTTAAATAAATATCTAAGTGTAAGAGGAAAAAGTCATGCAAGACCAATTATAGTGGACTTGGGCAACCATGCAGCCATTTTTTCTGTCATAGATAACATTCTAATAGATATAATATTAATAGATATTATTGGCACTTTGTTTTTTTTAAGACTCCAATTTAATACAGTACTTGCCCATCAGCATACAAACTTACACTCCAGTTTCAATATCAAATTAAGTTGTTGGAGTTGTGGCTAAGAATTAATTTTCAGTGGTCACAATATCAGAATTCACACAATTTTTTCTCCTGAACATGAAACATTTCCTTCAAACACTTTTTCAGACCAGGTGCTATAGGTAACCTTTCAATACTGCTGTACTTCCTTCCTATTGCTGTCCATATACAAAGCCTGCAAGTGTGGACCAGGCTTTGGTATCTTGCTGGCATCAGCTGAAACAAATGAGTTTGACTCTGCAGATCACAGTGTTCTGTATCTTCTACTCCTTCTCCTGATATATGGATCATATGTGGATCAATCTTATGCCTTACTTTAAGCAGGGAAGGAACTGGATTTTCTAAAGCAGCCTGTGCTGCTTTAAAACTTTCTCTCTTCATGAATGCTGCCAGTAATGCCACTGGTTTCAAGAACTGGTCCAATATAATATGCACACATTTTGGTTCATCAGTATATCTGGTCAAAGAAATTCTTAGATTAGAGTCTATGGATGCAATGTATTCATTAACAGGAAACCATAACATTGGGATTTCATCCAAGGTCACCTTCTTACTATCTGCCTTGCCATACACAATCTCAGTCACTACCTGCCCAGCCACTGTCTCACTTACCACATCACTGACTACTGTCTCACCAATTACACCACTGACCACTGTCTGACCAGCTACACCACTGACCACTGTCTGACCAGCTACACCATTGACCACTGTCTCACCAACCTCAGCACTGACTACTGCGTCACCAACCACATCACTGATCACTGTCTCACCAACCTCATCCACAACCCTTGCTTCAGCATCAACAGTCCATTTTTCTTCATCGTTGACCTGGATTTTGAACCCTAAATCTGGATCAGCACCATTCCTTATAAAAAGGAGAATTAATCTCTGAAAGAAGTCAACTGTATTTTCTGTTACATTTCTGTCACCAGTTAATCCACTTACACATGTCATAAGTCTTAGCAAGAGATGAAAGTGATTAACAACTAACAGCTGGTCTACATGTCCATTGAGCAACAAGGACAAGTACTGGATGACTGTCTCAGAATACACCTTGAAATGTTCTGGAGGACAGTATCCAAACAGATTCTTCAAAATTTCACAAAATTCAGGAGATTCCATAATAAATTTGTAATGAAGTATCAGCTCTAAGCACTTGAAGTGTTCCTCAGAATATTCATTGAACTGCCATATTTTTAACATGGCCTGGTAGATAAGTGTTGCAATGGGACTTGTTGTGTAATCAGTGTTCTTCACTAAAGCAGAACTACAGGTTACTCCATTATCCAACAAAACTTTAGTCACTTCTAACAAGTGTTTGTTTCTCTGGCTATAAGGCAAGTAACCATCAGATGCACTAAACAGAACAGTCAGAGGATGTGCACCATGAAATAAACCCTGTATATTAGCACCGTAATAAAACAGAATCTCCAAACATTTAGCCTGCCTTCTCTTGATGGCTTCTTCAACTGCCCCTTGCTTCTCCTCCAAGCTGATGTCTGGGTGTTTTCTCAGAATCAACTCCAGGGCTTCACTTGATCCTATAATGCATGCACGTTCAACCAAACTTCTACTCCTGGATCTTACAAACTTGGACAAAAGCAGCAGCTGAACACATCTCAGCTGATCTCCCTTTGCTGCTGCATCCAGAGGTGTAAGCATACATGCTGTCCTTTCATATATTGGTGGCTTAGAATTATATTCACATGTACATAAATTCGGATAGCACAGGTGACCCATTAGAAGATCATTTGTTTGACTTTCCTCTGTAAGAAACCCAACAATGGCAGTATGACCAGTGTAACAGGCTAACTGGAGGTAGTCATTACATCTGGGTTTATGAGGAGTAGAAAAATATCCATGCAAGTGAAAGTACATGACAGCTTCTGTGTTACCAGCCAAAATTGCATGGTGCATGCAATCCAAGCCATCTGCACCTATCCACTGAGTGACAACCTGTTTATTGTTACTGCCAATAGCATTCAGCATCTCTTTTAACTCTGGAAGTGGATCACACCTCTGAATAGTCTGCTGTATGGCTAGCATTTGGTCATCTAAGTTCACAGCTCCAGTGCTTTGGTGCATAGATTCAGCTCCTGTCATCATATCTTGACAGAAGTTTTGACTGATTTTGTCCATTATGTGACCTGAAAAATATAAAGCATGAGAAAGCTGAAAATTAGACAGAGGTTTAATATAACAAATGTTTAAAATTCATTTTAAAATACTAAACTGATTTTGATGGGGGTTTACCTTTCAGCACAATGGTAGATTAATAATGTATTCTAGACTCAAGTTGTTGTACAACGACTTGAGTCTAGAATACATAATAAATCTACCACTGACATAACGTATGTTTCTTAAAAGATTCGTTTATCAAATCAAGGTGACTGCAGAGGGTGCTTGGTGCTACACATATTTATTGTTATTTTATTTATTTATTCGTATTAGGTGGGTTACCTATCAGCAGTATAAAACTGAGTGAGGCAACAATTTACTTAGTTTGTACTACTGAGTATGTATCTGCATTTAAAACAACTCTCTTAATGATGCACTGCCGCTTTTATGCTTAGATGATTCGTGTAACAATTTATAATGATAATTTACCTGATAACAATATAATGATAACTGACCTGGATGTCAAATAGACTGGCGAAAATAATTTCTCTGCAGTTTTGTGAGGAACATAATTTTCCTCTTCACGTTCCCCGGGTGATTTCAAATCGAGATTGCTACATCCGCATCCGGGCATCATCGGGGAACAAAATATAGGAGAAGGAGACGTGTCGTTACTTCAAAGGTCCTTTGAAAAAGTAACTATATTCCTAGCAGAGGGGCGTTCGCTGGCTCTTAGTCAGTCGTAAAGGTAGGGCCTTTAACATGAGTGAACCAATGGTTTATATTTAATTTCCTCAGCTTTTTTGGGGGGATGTGGAAATACTGGACAAGTCAATGTTTTTGTAACTCAAAGCCAGCTTGAGGTCACAGACACTTGACGGCTGAGGAGTAGCGAATCGATGATGTGTCTGGTAAAATCGATTACACCGACAATTTTTATTAAATGGGGTTTTATCCGTACGTTTTCAAAGTGAAACTGTAGCTTGTACACATTTACATACCTAAATATCGACCTTGACAATGAAAGTAAACATTTTTTTCAATTTTATGTGCTTGCAAATTTGCCATTTTATTCGGGATAGTCCCGCATTTAGTGCAAGTTCTCTGCATCAGTCATAAATGTTTCAGAGGCCCTCATTACTTAAAAAGTCTCTTTTGCCTGCAGCTTTGCTGGTCCCGCAATTTCATCAAAACGCATAGCTTGGGGAAATAAAAATAATTGTGAAGCATACTGAGTAGAACGTAAATAGCAATAAAACATGGTTGAGCTCTATTTACTTATTTTTCTGTTTGCATTTTTGAAACATTATTATTATTAATTTTAAAAGTCTGATTTCACTTCATTTAAATGACTTGCCATGTATTTTCTGTATTATATGTTTTTAGACAGTATTATCTTTGCTTTTTAAGCTCAAAATGGCATCAAAATTATTTTTGCTGGCACAAAGTCAACTTTGTTGTTAATATATTAAGAACAGTAAGGTGGGGGAAGAGTTGTTAATAATGTTTTGTCGTCAATCTGATTTTGACAAGGTTGTGTCATAATTTGTATTGTTAATGTGATCATGCTTGCAAATTTACAATATGTTGTAGCTTTTATTTCCATTGCAGCTGTCACCATGGCTGACTTTGATCCATGTGAATGTGTTTGGAACCATGAAAGTGCTATGCAGAGACTCATCAATCTGGTAATTAATATCTTTTGGTTTCTTTTTGTGCAGGGTGGTTAGTTTTCTTCATAATAGTCATTGAAGTCTATGTTTACACTTGGCAGTAAAATAAACTTGATGGAATAACAACTGCTTATATTTAAAACATTTATTGGCAGATTTATTAATAAAACAGTACTTTATTAAAATACTTTTGCAACCAACATTTGCATCTGTTTGAATTTGCAATTGTGTTGAGTATTATGAAATGCAGCTAACAATGGAGGTATGCATTTTCTATCTCATCAAATCATATTTACCAATAGATGAAAAATATATCTCCTGTAACATAGAATTCTTTCTGTAGTAAACATTATTGTTGCAGTTGAGGAATTCCCAGTCCTATTGCACTGACAATGAGTGTGTACAAGATAGTAAGTATATATGAATAATTTGTGATATGGATTTTATAGGATGTGTTTGAAAATGACTTCATCACAGGCACTAGTGATTTAAAGGGAGTGGAGTCATGAATTCATACAGTGTGACTAGATTAGCATAATTATAGTGCCCAGACCACTTATCTGTCATGGGCAAAATGACTGGTGCATATAGATAAAACCCCATACTGAAGTTAATCTGTAATTGTTAAAAAAATAAAGTCTCCTCTTTAGCAAATGTACCTATTTTTTGTGTCATGGCAATAACTCACAGAATGTTATTTTTAATAGTCATTATATGTAGATATAAGTGTATAAATACACAAGTGCAGTCCATGCTAGTTAAGAATTTTAAAATGTCATTATCTTGAGACCATTTTGATAGGCTATTAGTACATTTAGTTTGGCACTGGATTTTTCTAACAATGCAGATAAGCTGGTTAATGTCCTTTTGACATATTTAGGGTATTATGTAACCGGGCAACATAAATAATAATAATAATAATAATGATGATTTTCCTCAATATTTGACAGAATGTTTTTGGTAAGCACTGCTCTTCCTTACAGGTCAACATAGTAAATTTACATTGGCAAGGTTTAACATTTTTTCTCGGGGCTTTGTCAAAAAGTTTATATGCTTGTTTGTTCAAACCTGTTGTAATTTTATTGTATGCATGCCTGGTGGCAGCTATGCACATGGCTGCAAGTCCCCTTATTCTTGTGAACCATTTTGGCATAGTACCTGCCTCCCTCTCCCCCATATTTATAATCAGATGTTTATGGAAATGTTTAGATTTTAACAAGTGCTTTTCCATATGCATTTTAGTTTAAACTTCTTGTAAGATAGCAAATTAAATTTTGAAATACTTTAACACAAATCAGTTTGTAAATGTAAATGTCACAATTGAAGTAGTGATTTCTCATCAGTGTTGAGGTTGGGCTATTTTGTTGCATTTGCAGTTATAATTATAATTTATTGAACTCAGAATTTATTTATTTATATATATTTTTTTACATTTAAATGCTCTCTATCTATGATTTATATATGTAGGATAATAATAATGATAATAGTCCTGTTCAGTGCCCCTCATCCTGTATGAGGGAGCGTTGTGTCCAGATGATAGCGTGAGGGTTTGTAATATGCTCAGTTAAGTGGATCTAGGACCTAGAATGGAATGATAAGGCAACCAAGTCATAAGTGATTTAGATCACATTAAATGTGCACTATGAAATGTTTGAAAATTCACAAACAGGCACTCAACCTTGGGTCACAGATAGAGACAAACTTAGAAAAAAGTCATTCATTTAATTCTCTCTCATCGTTTTGAAATTGTAATTAAAGGTCATTTCATTTGCACTTCAGTGCCAGGGCCCAATGGTAACCCTGCTGATGGTGGTTTCAATGTGATGATGATCATGATGGCATGGCTGGTGATTGCCACAGCTCTGTTTCTTCTAAGACCAGCCAGTCTCAGGAATAGAGGAGACCAAAAACCAAGTGGAAATGGCAATAATGTAAGGATATGTCACCTCAGTTGAATACAATGTGTAGTCCATTAAAATATGTATATATCACAAACATTTGGCTATAGTAGTCATAGATGCTCTACTGGTGCATAAAAAATGCAAATTCCATGCACATTTTAACAACATTTTGCAGGGCTTTAGAAGTCCATTTTAAATCTGCTTCTTTTCTTTTTGTAACAGATTCTAAAACATGGAGAATAATTTAAACTTGAAATTGCATGAAAATGTGACTGTGAATTGCTACTAAGTTGCTACTACTGTTGCAGGGACCAAATAACCATCCTCCTGCACCACCCGTCTCATAAGTTGGATCCTTGAAGAAAATGGCTTTAACTGACAGGCACGAAAGGAAATTTCTTCATATTGCCTACATATATATATATATTTAAGATCAATTTTATTTTGATGTTGGAATATTTGGAATTCAAGACAAATTGCAATCTAAGATAGTTAATAAATTTTAGTCCGAATGCTATCTTTTAAGTCTACAGTTTCAAAAGTAAATTTGACCCAAACTGTCGTAGGTGTAAAACGAGGCATTTATATTTAACTTGGTATTAGTGTTCGACCTTCACAATAATATAAGCCTAAAATAACAGTTTACTGCCAGGTCAAAAATGAATGAGGGTTGTTTTGACTTCTTCACCCATACATATATTTATATTTTTGTCAGATATTATGTATACAATGGGGAAGGTTAAGGTATCATGTATATCTCAAAGGCATCTTGAGAAGGTGAATGGGTTATGTATTTGTTTGTTTATTCATGTCTGCTTTCCAATGTTATGAGTGTGCATGTGTATTTTATTTCTTTTTTTTTTAATTTGAAAAGGAACATACAACTTGTGAAGTACAAGTCATAAGTTGATATATTGTCAAGGTTGGTCATTTCTGTGGAAAAGTGCAATGACATATAGGATTTTCACCTGAAAATGGTCATAATCAGTATTATGACAAGTTTTGACAAAAAAACTCCTGGTACCTGAAACACAATATTAAAGTGATCTCACAGAAAAGTGTTTATTTGACCATTTTTCCTTGACACTTTGCATATTTGTAAGTCTGGCATCTTCCTAAATATTTTAAACTGTACCATAAATGGGTTGTCTTCAACAATCTATTCAGAAAACCCCTGTTCATCAGAAAGTGTTAGGTGAAATATCAAAAGTTCTTGTAATTTTTATTTTATACAGATAAAATAAAACTATTCTTGACTGAAGTATTGTGTGTGTTTTCAATTTTTGGTGAGTGTTCCAAAACGTATGCATTATTAGTTTGCTGTATGTTAAAATTATAAAACCATTGCATCTGTAATTGGGGAAACTTATCCCTGCTGATCTTAATATATTTTTAAAATGTATAAAATATTTTAAACATCTTCCCTGATAGCAATGAACATGGTATTTTAAAAGGTCCCAGTGGACAGCTGCACAAAATGTTGAAATTATAGCTATCACCCTAAACCTGGGATGTATTACAGTTTAAAAAATCTTTCAAACACTAACCATTAAGTACAAAATGTAATAAAATACTTAAAAAAAAGGATATTTTTTATGGGACTTGCTGACACCCTTTCACTAAAAAGGGACTTCTAAAATGCACCCTTGCAAATCACCCACTGGACATTTCATATCCAAATTAAAATATCAACATTCACTTATATATGTACAAACTGTGCTTAAGTAAATGTAATCCACTTTGTTTACATACAATGCAGAGAATGAAGGCTTTTTTTATTCCCTAAAACTTATTTTTTTATCTTTGACTTTGCCTCCTTAACTTTAACAAGTAAATCTCGTAATTTGTTAAAGGTGCCCACAGAATCTGGCAGATTTTCAAAAGGTAAATGCTCAGTGATGTCTTTGGCAAAGAGATCTGCTGAAGGTAGATTGGAGGGAGTGCTGAGTGAAGTCTCCAGAATTGGAGTTCCATAAGATAGACCAACAGATGAACTGCGTGACTGTGACTGAGGGGTGTTTGACCACGACTGAAACGAGGTATTTTGTGCCGCAACACTTTGTTCCAAAGTTTGTCCTCTTTCTGTATCATCTGGACTTTGTGGAGGGGACTGCTGCCCTACATTCTCACTTTCATCTCCAGAGCAACTGTCAATCACTTGAACCTCACTGTCTTCACCTTCCTCAGCCATGATTTGAGCCAGCAGCTGCTTACGTTGTTCTTCCAAGTCATCTATGTCAGAAGGGGTACCTTCTCTGGTCCCCTGACATGATGACTGGTGACTCACACTGCCACTTCTACTCCCTGGACACCTGAACTCTTCATCAGACAACCTGCTCTGTACACTTTTTTGGACATCACTCTCTGATTGCACTGAGCTTCTGCGGCTTGAAGATGTGGAGGGATTTTGCTCAATTCCTGCAGCACCTATGTCAAACATATGTGAGTCTAAATTATACGAGGTCTTGGAACATTCAGGAGATGGGGCACCTGCTGCTTCACATTGTCCTTCATACAATCCATAATACCTCTGGCAGCACCCACTGGAAACTTGTTTACCCACACTAGACAGTTTAGTATTTAAGTTAGGGGATAACTGTAGGTTTGCACAGTCACCAAATGATTGATAGTCATCAAATTTCTGAGGGGGTCCTTGCTGTTCAAAATATGTTAGTGTCTGGAAATTGTGAGAGATGCTCTCTTCACTAGTAGAAGTGCTCAAAGAAACAGACAGTTCTTGTGTCCAGACTTGAAGGTTTTTACCAAAAGATAAAGGAGAATTTAAACTGGGTTCAGGTTCAGCAAGAGCTTCTGAAGACAATGTGGTTGGAACCTGTACGTTTGAAAGTGTATTAGCAGGCAAAGGGAAAGAAGCTGGTGTGTAATAAGGTGTATTAGCTGGCAAAGGGTTTTGAACAAGAGCGTGGGGAGGTGAATTAGCTGTCACAGCATTTTGACCTAGGGTGTGGGGAAGTGTATTAGCTGGCACATGGGGTGGAGCTGGGGTGTGGGGAGGTGTTTCAGCAGGTAAAGAGGGTGGAGCTGGGGTGTG